TGGAAAGGAGGAAACCAAAGAACAATGTGAACCAAGATCTACGAGAGCTGTTAAACCTAACTATAAAATATAACTATAGAAGAGAAAAAAAATGATTACAATTAATATAAATGGACTTAACTCAGCTGTTAAAAGAAGGAAAACCTTCCATAAATTAGAGAAATTAAAATTTGATATAATCTGCCTACAAGAAGTACATATTAAAAAACAATATGAACAATTGTTGATACAGCCAAAATTAGGGAAAATATTCACTTCCTTGACACAATGTAAGAAAAGAGGAGTGGTTTTATACATTAAAGATATTATCCCAGTGAAATTGATTTATACTGATGATGACAGAAGAATACTAATGGTGGAAATAATGGACAATAATACGAAAACACTCCTGATTGCAATTTATGCCCCGATTGACAATCAAGAAGAATTCTATAAAAAATTACATACGAAAATAGTTGAACTGGACTATGTTAATATAGTTATGATGGGAGATTTTAATGGAATTGTAGAGAATAAACTGGACTACACAGCACAGAAAACAATGAAGCAAAACAGAACCCCCCCCCCAAATCTTTTTTAAAAATGGTAGATGAAATAAACTTAAAAGATACATGGAGAGAAAGAAATGCTAAAACCAAACAATACACCTTCTACTCAAATAGACACATCCAGAACGGATATGATATGGATGTCAACAGAATTGTTAACTAATATTCAAGAAATAAATATTGAAACAAGTACTTGGGCAGATCACAATCAAATGACAATTAAATGGAAAGGACAAAGAAGAAGATCTAGATGGATGTTAAATAATACTATTTTAAAGGAAAAAGACCTCACACAGTGGATGGAGAAAGAACTGGCTTTTTTCTTTAGAGAAAACAAAGAAGAAGATACATCAATCCAGAATGTATGGCATACAATGAAGGCATATGCCAGAGGCTTGATAATATACTATAAGGAAAAGAAATACCATGAAAAGATTAGCCTCTATGGCATTAGAGGATGAGTATAAAGGACTTGAAAAAGAGCTACAGAAAATGCCACAGAAAAAGGACATTAAGTTAAAAATGGATATAACCAAACATAAAATGGATCTAATCAAAAAAGAAGAACTAGCACAGAAAATTTGAGGTGCTAAACAGAACTACTTTGAAGATGCAAATGAACCAGGTAGATGGTTAGCATATAAATTGAGAAAGGAGAAAGAATCAAGGAAAATATTGCAATTAATAGACAACCAAGGCCAAGTTTGCTGTGGTAGTAAAGAGAAGAAGGAAATCATACGAGACTATTATGAGAAACTATACACAAAAGAGAATATTGATGAGGAAAGAGTTAAACAGTATTTACAAAATGCTAATCTATCCCAGATACATAAAGCGATTGAAACAATGTTAGAAAGCAATATAATGATGATGGAGTTAACTGAAGCACTTAAGAAGCAAAATAATGGAAAGGCACCAGGCCCAGATGGACTTCCGGCAGAATTTTACAAAACATTACAAGAATCGTTGAACCTCCATTGCTAGAAGTTATGAATGAAGTTATGTTAAAGAAGAGGATACCTAAATCATGGTCATATTACACTTGTTCCAAAAGAGGAGGACGATCCATTACAAATCAAGAACTATAGACCTATTTCCTTACTAAACACAGATTATAAAGTTTTTGCTTCAATATTGGCAGAAAGACTTAAAAATACTTAAACAATTTTATCCATCCTGGTCAAAATGAATTTCTGCCAAAGAGACAAATTAAAGACAATATGAGAGTCATTTTGGACACTTTGGAATACTATGAGGCACATCCTGAAAAACAAATGGCTCTGATATTTTTAGATGCCCAGAAGGCATCTGATAATGTGAATTGGCGATTCATGTTATTGCTGCTGGAACAGATGGGCTTTGCTAAAAAATTTATTCAAGCAATAGAAGCTATATATCTTAAGCAAACAGCAAAGGGAGATAGAGGGAGAACTGACAGACTCTAACGATATAAGGAAAGGAAAAAGACAAGGGTGCCCACTATCACCTCTGTTGTTTGTGTTAACTTTGGAAGTGCTAAATAGAAATATTAGAGATGAAAATAATATAAAAGGGATGAAAATTAAAAAGGAAGAATTTAAACTGCAAGCTTTTGCAAATGATCAGGTTTTCATTTTAGAAGACCCATTAGAAACAGCATCAAAATTGATAGAAAAGATAGAGACATATGGAAAGGTGGCTGGTTTGAAAATAAATAAAGATAAGACAAAGATCTTGACAAAGAATATGTTATCAAGATAAAAGGAAGAACTGGAAGATCTATTGAAAATCCAGGTCAGGAATGAGATCAAGTACTTGGGGATATATTTGACAGCAAGATGCAGTACACTAAAAGAGAATAATTATATCAAACTTAAGCAGCAGATACCGCTAGATTTGGCGAAATGGGAAAATTTACAACTGTCATTAATAGGGAGAATATCAACAATCAAGATGAATATATTACCCAGAATTTTATATTTGTTCCAAACAATTCCAATTAGGCTTGGAAAATATTACTTTGAAGATTTAAATAAAATTGTGTTGAAATATATATGGCAAGGTAAGAAAGTGAGAATAAAGTTAAAACTTTTGCAAGATGCTAGAATAAGAGGAGGATTTGGTTTGCCTAATTGGGAGTTGTATAACCAAGCTAAAAATTTGATGTGGGTTAAGGAATGGATAACATTAAGAAATACTAGATTGTTGACATTAGAAGGACATGATCTGTTGTTGGGGTGGCATGCTTTTTTATGGAAAAAGGAACTAAAACACTGGGGTACTTTAGAAGACATTATATACGGGAGTCTCTGTGGTTAAACTGGGAGAAGATTAAAAGACAATGTTATTTGAAAATTCCAGTCTGGTTATCGACTATTAAAGCATTTTCTTATCCTATAATATACAAAAAGGAACAAACAGTTAGATATTGTGAAATATTGAATGAAAAGGGTGAACTTAAATCTATGCAAAAATTAGAGGAACAAGGTATAAAGATGAATTGGTTTTCATATGCGCAAATACATTCAAGGTATGATAAAGATTCTAAAACAGAAGGTTTCTATGATAAACTGACTGACTTAGATAAGATTTTGACAGGTACTGATGAAAAGGTGATTAAAAATTTGTATGGATATTTATTAGAAATTAAAGTAGAAGAAGAACAAGTTAAAGAAACTATGATTGCTTGGCGGAAGAATTTTGGATATGGGATTGATCTAGAGAAATGGCAAAAACTATGGTCTCAAAATTATAAAATGACAATGTCAACAGCATATAAAGAAAATTTGTATAAGATGTTTTACAGGTGGCATTTTCCCCCAACAAGAATAGCAAGAATGTTCAAGAATAAATCTGAAAAATGTTGGAAATGTCATCAGACACCTGGCTCGTATTACCATATGTGGTGGACATGTGCGGATGCTAAAAAATATTGGACTAAAATCCACACGTGGTTGGAAAAAATGACAAAAAAACATATAGATTTGAAACCAGAAATATTTTTATTGGGAATTTTACCTGAAATATATAGTAAAGACTTGAAATACCTGATTGTAAATATATTAACAGCAGCTAGGATTGTATTTGCTAAAAACTGGAAAAATGAGAAAACACCATCACAGGAGGAAATCATTAAAAAAATATTGGAATGTGCTGAAATGAGTAGATTGACATTTGAAATTAGAGAACAAAATGATAAACAATTTTATAAAATTTTGGATCTATTCTATCAATGGTTAGACAATAAAATATAGTAATGAAATATGTAGATTCTTAGAAAATAATAAATATATAAAGATGTATTCTTTTCTTATTATATCTACAAAATGATTTTAGGATAGATTTGGGATGATAATATGAACTGTCATAAAACAAATTAAGGAAAATATGATTATTTCATAAAACATGAATGAATAAAAGTATAGTCAAATGATTGATTAACAATAATATTAATGTATTTAATATTTGATTGAAAATATGAGAGCATATACAATGTAATTGTAATTGAAGACTAGGAAATGGAAGCACAAAACAATTTGTAAACCAACCGGCACACTGTATGTATATATATGGAAGATGGCTTGATGTTTTTATGTTTTGTTTGTCTATGTTTGTTTTAAAAACTAATAAAAACTTTTTTTTAAAAACTAAAACTAAAACTGAAGAAAAAATAATAATAAAATGTATAAATTCCATTCAACTCGGTATATAACTTTTCCCTTGAGTACCGAGATGAACTGATCCATTGCAGGAACAGGAAGGAACATGATCTTGAGATTGAATAGATCATCTTAATTGGTCCCAAATTGATTTGCAAAAATAGGTTTGCGAATATGTTTTTTTTTCCAGAACAAGTTTAGCATTACAAAACTCAGTACAAAAAATTAGAATAAAACAGTTTTATGCTGTTTCCAAATGAAGAAGATATAATTAATATAAACAGAATTACTGGTCTGTTTTTTTATGTCATAGACGTGTTGACTTGGTTATTAAAGCATTTAACCAAGCATGTGAAATTCATCTTATGCAGCTATTATTTGGTAAAATATGACATGGTGATTATTCAAATGATCATTCAATATTGTACATAATTTCATGATGGTTACAATAAATATAGATAAACAAACACATTGAGTTCAAAACTGGACATTTAAAAATGTTGATAGAGTTTTGATTGTATTGTCTCTAGGTTTATATCAGATAATACAGGATTACAGAATGCTTTGTTTCTCCATATCAACTGTGGGTTAAAATTTCATTTTTGGAATGCTTAGAAAATGGTACTTCTCCAATTTTTTGAAAAAAAATTCTTAATGGTTATTTTTCCAGTTTGAAAATCTACAATTAATACTTGTTGCTTTTGCTTTCTGTGTGCAGTAAAATTATTAGATATTTAAAAATATGTTAAATGGCTTTACTATTGTGATATTTTACTATTATTCTATATTTTTATATATTCATATTTTATTATAGGTTGATGCCTTGAGATTACGTTTAGAAGAAAAAGAAAGTTTTCTTAATAAAAAAACCAAACAACTGCAAGACCTCACAGAAGAAAAAGGAACTCTGGCCGGAGAAATTCGAGATATGAAGGACATGTTAGAAGTTAAAGAAAGAAAAATTAATGTTCTACAGAAAAAGGTAGGTTTATGACACGGACTATTACAACTGGACAATAAATATAAATAGGCAAGGCTGATCAGAAAGCAGCCAATGACTGCCTTTTCCTCTTTTGTTTTGGTTAAAAAACTTTGCTGACTCTTTCCTTTCCTTTTTTTTTTTTAAGACTGAGGGAAACCTTTAACATTTAAATCTCATACCCTCAAAAAGCAGGAAGTTATACAGGAAATAAGCTCTCTATATTCAGAAGCATCTTCCAATGGATTAGATATTGCACCATCAACAGCATTTTTAAAATAGCTTCCTTCCTTATCGCTCACTGTCAAACTTCTTATCCACATATTTCCCAATAAATTCTCACCCTCCTTGGGATTTATTAATTTTTCTTTCCCTTTCAGGGATCCACTATCTTTATGGTTGGGTGATGACTCCCACACTTAGCGACCTTTACAAGTGGGACATCATTCCGCCATACTGCAGCTGCCAAAAAAGCCAAAGGGTCATAGGCTGCATTAACAAAGGGATAGAATGAGCTTGATGTTTTTATGTTTTGTTTGTTTATGTTTGTTTTTAAAAACCAATACATTTTTTTAAAAAAAACCCAAAGGGATAGAATCAAGATCCCATGAAGTATTAGTACCACTTTATAATACCTTGGAAAGACAAAGATTATTAGAGGACTGGAGACTAAAATATATGAAGAACAGTTGCAGGAATTGGGTGTTTTTTGTTTAATGAAAAGAACTATGGATGACATGAAAGCAGTGTTCCAATATCTTAGGAGGCTGCCACAAAGAAGAGGGGTTCAATCTATTCTCCAAAGCACCTAAGTTAGGACAAGAAGCAATAGATCAAAACAAATCAAGGAGAGAGGCAACCTAGAACTAAGGAACTTTTTCCTGATAGTGAGAACAATTAATCTGTAGAAGGACCTGCATCCAGAAGTTCTTGGTGCCCCAACACTGGAGGTTTTTAAGAAGAGATTGGACAACCATTTGTCTGAAATGTTATAAATTTTCCTACTTGAGCAGATAGTTGGGCTAGAAGGCTTCCATGATTCCCTTCAACTCTGTTATTCTGTTACACTGTTATCATCTAGCTGATCTTGCTTGATCTTGAAAAAGTTAAGCCGGATTGGATCTGGCAAGATGGAGCAAGACATTCTAGAGCAGAAGGATTATCTTTGAAGTTTAAAACAACAAACAATCATTCTTATTTTATTTTATTGCATGCAAAAGAATATGGTTTTAAATTCAAGTGAAATTTCAGGCCCCCTAGCACCAAGTTTAGTAATGAAGAGCCAAGAGACATATGTGGATTATTACTAGAGAATATTCTCACCAACAATCTTTAGTCTCTCAGGCTTCCCCATTTTCAATGACTTGAAAACATCAAGAAGGATAACTTGTTATGGGTTTGTTCAGACTGAGAAACAGGGAATACTGAAAATCTATAGCAGAACACAACATCAACAGTGAACTATTGATTACTTCTGTATTTGATTATTTCTGTATTTATATATACTTCTGTATACATATATTTGATCAGAAAATGACTGGGAAAGGTGGTGGATAATGGAGTTTTTCTAACATGTTTACTTTCTATTTTTATAATACCATTTTGGATACATAATCTAGTTTAAAATCTGTTGGCAAGTATACCTGCTAGTAAAAAGCAAATGATTATATATGTGTAGGATATTCTGTTTTGGTTGGGTTATATGTGATTTAGATTCTTCTCACTTAAAAGAATTGAGTGATATGGAGGTATACTTTCTGCTTTGTTAATTAGATGTTATATTTTAATATCAATTTCTAATGTATAAATAGAGATTGAAATCAAATTTGTCTTGAAAGTAATTCCAAGTAAATTCCTGTATGTGTTTTATAGCTTGTACTGGTAATATTTAATGCAATCTTTGGATTATATGTTTTAGAGGGAGATTAACACTAGGTTTCTAGAATAGATTTCATAATTGTAAGCACAAATTAATTTATGTTTTCACTTGCAAGATCAAATAAATTTTTCTAAGGGTAAAGGTAAATAGTGCCATAAGGATTAAGGGATTCAGACCAGTTATTTCTATTTAAATACTTGGGTTATGGGTGTAGTTTTCTCTATGGCCTTGAGGACTGCATGATTTATTTCCAACAGATGGTGTGATAAATTCATTCACAGATGATTTATCTGAAGAAAGTTTTAACTGAAACACTATCCTTTTTCCCTTCCAATTGTTTAAGTAAATTCATATCATTATACTATAAAGAAAAGGTTCACTGTTTATTTTCCTTAGGTCTGGTGTGCAGCCTCCATTCGGTTTTCCATTTAAACTGATTTTTAAAATGGTCTTCTTATTAACTTTATAGCATAGACTGATTGTAGAGCATACCTTCCTTTTTTGAAGGCTTTTCTACTTACTTTTATCCAGAGGGCTATTTTACCTTTTCTCCAGGATCAAGTAAATTACTCCCTCTTGATCATAAAATGGCATAGAAGTTTCCCTGTCTATTTAATGCTGAATCCAAATGATTATACATGGATCTCTGTAGCTTACTATATCATTCTGGGAAGATTCTTAAAATGTTTTCTTGTTTTAACCTTTACCCAGTTCCTGATGCACTTATACTTTAGTGATCTTTTTAAAAAAGAAAAACAACAACAACAAGGGTTTCTAAGCTTTTTGCCATCACCTCTCCCTTCAGTGTAATTTTAATGCACCCACATGACCTAAAAATCCAAACACCAGAATGAACACGTATGAAGATTGAAAACAATACAGGGAAACTTTGGGAGAGGTGGGTTCAGTATAACAACATATAACTAAAAGGTTCTTCACATCCCCCTGAACTGTGTCTGCACCTCCCCAAGGGGAGGACACTTCACAGTTTGGGAATCCTGTCCTAAACAATAGAACAACGGTGGAGGATATAGTGATCCTGGAAAAAAAAACATGAGTCTGCTTTAAGTAGTTGCAGAGAGATGCTCTATTTATTTTTCTGTGAGTAGTGAAATACTTTTTGTCTTTAATCTGAAGCACTGCACAATTATAGCAGATGTTCCTAACTCCAGTCCTTAAGGAAATAGATGTAGCACACCAGTGTTTTTGCTGGTTTTACTCTGTTAGTCATAGCTGACTTTGGGGTATATGTGTGCTCATGTCTGTTTCTGTAAGCCATTGAACCAGCACTGTCCAAAGATAATTCCATGGTCATGTGACTAACATGACATCACACCACAATGCAAACCTTATGGCATGGTGGCTCAGTGGCTTAATAGACACCGGAGAAGGTCTATATTCCAGAGGTTCGACTTTTATCACTGCGTAATGAAGTGAACTCCCGTTACTTGTGAACTCCCGTTACTTACTCCTAGCAACTGAACAGTTTGAAAGCATCTTGAACTGCAACTAGATTATATAGGTAGCACTTTGGTGGGAAAGTAACAGATATAACATAACATTATCCCACATAATCCTGCTGGACTAGGCTAACGATCAAAAGCTGTCCTGGATCAGAATGAGATGAATCTGAGACCAGCAATTTGTTTCTCATAGTAGACCACCAGCTGCCTCTGGGTTGCTTGCAAATAAGTTGAAGACAAATCCTCTCCCACCATTGTTTCCCTGCAAATAATATTTGGATGAATGCTGGCCCAACCTACCAATGGGCTCCCTCTGAACAAAAGCTGATCTGGTTTCAGTAAGAAATAGATGATAACGGGAGTGCTACAATTATTGGAAAGGGTCCGTTTTTTCCAAACATAAGCAGATACATAAGGGCACAGAAGTAATTAAGCTTTGTTACCTGTATTTCCAGAGTATAGATCCAAAGTGCACTCATGTCCTTATTAAATTATGGTTGTCCTTCATTTTTCATTATCAGCACTGCAGTTGTCTATTTCGTTACTTCATTCCTGACAGGCTATATTTTATTTTAGAAATGTATACGTTGCCTGATTGTGATCAGTCTTTAGATAATGTATCTTTAGATAGATAGATAGATAGATAGATAGATAGATAGATAGTTGATAGACAGACAGACAGATGATAGATAATAAGTGTGCACACAGACACATATACATAAATACAAACTGAAGAGCCATGGCCACACAGTGGTTAGAATGCAGTGCTGCAGGCTAACTCACTGCGCATTCCAGGTGTTCAATTCTGAGCGGCTCAAGGTTGACTCAGCCTTCCGAGGTCAGTAAAATGAGGACCCAGATTATTGGGGACAATATAAACCACTTAGGGAGGTCTGTAAAGCACTGTAAAATGGTACATAAGTGCTATTGTTATATACATAAACATATATGTACACACACTTATATATAATTATATTAGGAATGTATATGACAGTATAATAGAACTAAGTTTGGTGTTGTTCACTCTGCAAGTAATCACCAAGGGCCTTCTTAAAAAGCTGGGCCTTTAACTTTTTGGAAGACTGTAGGTTATTCTGTAAACTATGGGGCACCTTTGGATCATGTCATGTCTAAGAGAAAGTTGCTCAGGAATAATTTGCTATATTCTGTTCTAAATCTTGAGATATGACAACACTACTCCCTGTTTTTGGGGAAACTCTCCAAGCAGTCACTGGAGTTTGACTAGATCCAAAGGGAATTTAGATAGCTCATCTTAATTCGTCTTCCCTCCCTAAGAAGGTTATCATGACTACAAGCTTCTGGATGACAGAGAGAATGTACATGTTTAACAAAGGAGTAACAGAATACCCTCAGTTCTCAAGGATATATATGTGTCAAGCTAGATATTAGTTGCTAGCCTGCATTATCTGTCATAGTAGCCATGAGATTCTGAGCAATTCATGAGCCAACTCCCAATTGTAAGAGGGTTAAAGCTTTAAAGGGTTATAAGTTTAAGGGGCTCAACAAGCTTGAACACATCAGGAAGAGATACATTAATATGATAAATATTATAAATTTATAAATTTATAATTTTATAAATATTAATGTTAAAGTGCTGTTTTAATATTTCTTAGTACAACTTGAGCAATATAATTCCACAA